GTGCGATTTCAGCTCCAATCCTATTTGATTTTGGGTTTCACTTCCCAATCTGTAAATTTGGAGTATTTATAGTTTTCTTATTTCACAGGAGAATTGTAAGCATAGGTTTATTACAATTTATGAGGTACCCAGATACTGTAGGGATGGTAACTGTATACTTTTAGTCACATTATCAACCTATTTCCATCTACTTGCTAATTAGAAGCACGGTAGTGCACCGTTTGTTTACTTGCATTTGGATAGCATCCTTGCTCCAGAGCTGAATGAATGCCCAGGCATCTGCAGTGGACCAGCTGCATTGGCAGCAAAAAATAGACAGTGCTTCTGAAAAGACTAATGAAAAAAAAAAAATCTAAAAGTAGTCTGCTTTGTAAGTGAAGGAATTCAAAGAAATTAGATAAGTACCATCACTGAGGAGATACCAAATTGCTCTGTTGTAACAGCTGCAACATCAAGTTCTGCTGTCTTATATAACACTTATGGACAATCTACTAAGGAAATAAATAGTGGGCTGTGGATTTACATAGAACAAATCTGGAGAGCAGCAGCATAAGCTTCTGTATTTATTGTATTTAAGCTTACTGTGGTGATACAAAATACATAGTAAGTGGTACAAAATATGTTGTACAAAATATGCTGTCAGATGGTCATAGTCTTTAATGTGCAGTGAGGTCAAGAAGGCAAAAAACCTTAGTTGCATAGTTGGACAGTGCTGAGGCCTTCTCTATCTGTCTTGTTTAGTTCTGTAGAGACACTGATGTTGAAATGAAATAGCACATGACCCTACTGGAATTTAGCCAAATCTCTTTAATCTGCAGCTTACTTTTTCTCCTTGAATGGGCCAACATTGCCTGAATTGACTGTAGGAGTCCTCTGTATTAGGACAAAGATTGCATCTGCAATCATATTGAACAGTGGGAGGGGTTATTCTCTCTTGCAACGTGTTTTAAAAGTACTGTGCCTTTTGCCACGCTCCTGCAAAATATTGATTTTAATAGAAATCATTCAGAGGGAAACCTCAGTAAAAGCCAGGATTTTTAAAATGAAAAATAAAATGTGGAGCCAAATAAGTAACATGTTATACAGAAAATTATGAAAAAAAAAAAAAAGATGTCATGATCTGTAGATGCTAAAAAAGACTCGAGACTTCAAACAGATGTCATTTTTTACCATTAGCAAGCATTCATAAACTCTCTGAGAAATATACCATATATATATATATATAAATATACCATACTGGCCTTCTGGATCTGAGATTTGCATGCTAAAAAAGGAAAAAATTTGAAATTTCCATGGAAAAAGAAGGCAGAAATATTTGGAGAATCATGGTTTTTTCTCTTTTCCATACTTACTGAGAAAATCTGTTAAATAAAGGCCTAGCAAAGCATTAACGTTACAAGAAGGAATAATTGATTATTAAGGCAATAATCAGGTAATTAGTACAAAAAGTGAAAGGATTCCTCTATTCTGACCAAAGAGGTGCTTGTGTTAGAAATAAAAAGAAAAAAAAATTCTGTAACAGATTGGTATTTTACACAGGGGACCTAAGCAGACAAATAGGAGAACCTGACTAGCCAGGAATGCAATATCATTGATAATGAAAACATGAAGGGACAACAAGTATTAAAGGTACACACTTGTCAGGAAAGAACATAACAGCAATAGATCTGGTATGTAGCAGATGTGAGAGACTTTTACTATAGATGTTGTTGGTTTTTTTCTTCATGACCTGTTTGGATGAATTAATTTTGAGGATGGGTAGGGAAAACAAAGTTTAGTCACAGTAATATTGGGCAATAATATTGAAATATACATTGAAACAATATGATTTACCAAAATATTAGGACACAAATATTTTTGTTTCTCTATATAGATGTTTACCTCTTGGCTAGATATTTTAATTCCTACTACAGGCAGTGCAGGTCTTATTAATACAGTCAGCTGAGTACAGAGATTTGTATCTAGATTTATCTAGGTTGGCATCTTCAGTGGAATAGTTGTGTAAACAGTCTTGCAGATGTTTCAATGCAGAGTAGCCCACTACTGCTCCAGAAGGATGTGTCTTGTGCAACCCATGTGTTGTATCTTGGCCTCTCTAGAACACCTCAGATGGTAACTGAGTTGAGCTCTTTAGCTGCTTAGCTGAATGAATCACTGCACATCAGTAATTGTCTTCACTGATTCTTAGGAGGAACTCAGTTCACATATGGACACTCAAATGTAGATGTACTCATGTCAGACTAAATCCCATCCATACAGTCAAATATAGATATAAATATAACATTTGCATGGATAAATTTGGCTATAATATTATTAAATTACTGCCAGAAATTGTATCATATGTGATACTTATAAATAAATACTAAAAACTGAGGGCTAGTAATAATGATGAGGCACAGATATCAGTGGATGTGATAATTAACATATTTTATCAAAAAATACTGGATAAAAAGGAGAGAATGCTATTTTAGTTTTTTAAAATCTACATAAGCATTTCAGAAAAGTCAGTCAAAAAGCCTGCCAGGGATCATGAATTCATTCACTTTAAATTAAACATGTATATATCGCCTAAGTTTTCAGTAAAGGTAGAAACAATAAAATGCAGAACAAAGCAAAAAATAGCTAATATCAGCAAGTGCTTGGCAGAGGAAATGACAGTAAACAAATCCTAAGGAAAACTCAAAGAGCTGGATGTGCTTAAAATGAGGGAAATGGGTAATCCGTACCTTAGGATTCTGAAAGAACTGGCTGTGCTACATCACTGATCTGCAAGTGGTTTTAATAAAGATGTGTGCATTGTGTGTGCTTGAGTAAAGGACTTTTTACTAGTTTTACGATAAAGAGAGAAACAGTTGTTGCAAAATGAAACTGAAACATGTACTTATTAAAAGTGTGTCATGGTGGGCAAACCTATTGACATTTTGTGATGAGACAGTAGATTTGTTGACACAATAAATAATCTTATTCATTGTGACCTCTGATAAAGACACCATGTCACAAGGGAAGTGACTGATTAATTGAGAAAATGAAAATTAGTAGATTTGTTGAAGGAGTAAAGAGCTGGCAAGTGGAACATGATAGCAGTGATTAGTGAAGGAGTCTGCTGGGAGAGTACAAGCAGAGTTCTTCCAGGACCAGGTTTAGGAAGAATCTTAATATTTAATGCATGACCTTGATACACAGAGTAGAATTAGATTATGATATCTCTCTCCTGAAACCAATTATATAATATAATTGGGATCTGGATGTTGTTTAGAAAAAGAAAGACACTGAAGGCTAGATTATTAAAAATGGGAGTAAAATTTAATAGTGTAGACCAATGGATTTAGGAAATAATAAAGAAATTCTGTTATGAATTGAGAGCTGATACAACTGCTGAGGAACATCTAGGTACTCTAGCTGATCCCTTGTTGACTGTGAGCCATTGTTGTGCAGCTGTGAAAAAGGAAAACACAGTCCTAATATCTATATAGGTAAAGAAGTATCACTGCCATTGTTCAAGGCAGTGAGATAGCCTTTGGAGTACTGCATACTCTAGTCCAGTTCTGTTCTCCAACCATAAAAAGGTTGAGCTTCAGCCTGGTGTACAAAGGGGAGGAGGACAATCACTTCCCTCAACCTGCTGGCAGTGCTTCTTATGATGCAGCCCAGGATATGGTTGTCTTTCTGGGCTGCAAGCACACAATGCCAGATCATATAAAGCTTTTTATCCACCATCACTGCCCAAGTCCTTCTTCTCAGGTCTGCTCTCAATCCATTCTTAACTCAGCCTGTGTTTATGCTTGGGATTGCCCTGACCCAGCTGCAGGTCCTTGCACTTGTCCTGGTTGAACTTCATGAGGTTTGCACAGGCCCACCTCTAAAACTTGTCAAGGTCACTCTGGGTGCCATCCCTTCACTTACTGGTGAAGACTGAGGCAACGAAGTAATTGAGAACCTCAGCCTTCTCCATGTCCTGGGTAGCCCGGTCTCCTGTTTCTTTCTGGAAAGGCCCTACATTTTTCCTAGACTTCTTATTATCACTAACACACCTATAGAAGCTTTTCTTGTTGCCCTTGACATCTCTGGCTTGTTTTAATTCTATCAGGACATTAGCTTTCCTAACCTAATCCCTGCTGGACAATCTCTGTATTCCTCTCAGGTTACCTGTCTATGTTTCCACCCTCTCCAGGCTTTCTTTTTATGATGGAGCTTGTCCAGGAGCTCCATGTTTGCAGGCCTCCTGGCATGTCTGCCCAAATATCTGTTCCTGAGCTTGGAGGAGAAAACTCTAAGATAAGGAATTTAAAGTCATCTATGCTATAGTCTTCTATAAGAATGTCTCTATTGGTTGAAACGGATCCGTTTATAAAAGGAATTATGAAAAACAGTTTTCCATGGTAGAAGTGGAGGAGGTCCTGCTTGGGTGTGTGTTTTACTTTCATTACACAGAAAGCAAAGATTTGGCCAATGCCAGTATTCAAAATGGGCTACTGCTGTTACTCTCATTTATCCCAGTTGTAGGCAAGGTAAATGGCTAAACACCTAAGACAGATCGTGTTCCCACAAAACACTGCTGTCTAGCCAAGTTGGTATGAGTTACCTTTGACATCCCATGTGCCTCTTCAGCCAGTTCAGCAGCTCTCTCAGCAAGTGGTTTGAAAATGGATGTGCTGGTAAGATCTGAAATCATAGGAAATTTTTCTTAGAAGAAAGGAGCAATTCTGACTGGTCACCACAAGGTGACTTTGCTAATCTGTCAAGGAGCAGGAGCATGGAAAGCTGTACCTGCATCATTTTAACATAGTGGAAATGTGTAGTGCATAACAAATAATTGTAGCATACGGCTAATTGCTTCTGTGTCTGCAGTATGCCAGCCAGAACCATGAAAGCAAAAAGTTCACAAGAACCAAAGAGAGTGACAAACATCATAACGCTTAAAAGATAAGGGCTATGGTGATGACATCTTTATACAGAATGGAAATATTTGTAAAACATTGTTTTATTTACTATAACCACAGGGTTCCTTAAAGAAGGTTCTTAAACAGCTGGAAAAAGAGAAGAAGAGTCTCCAGAATCAGCTAAAGGACTATAAACTTAGACTAGAACAAGAAGCAAAGGTTTGTAATCACTGTATGCCTCTAACCTATAAAAGCCATTATGTTGTCTGACAAACAATGTGTGTGGAACACACAATAGAATAGTTCCACAAAATATGTCACTGGAAAAACGTTCTGATGTATGTTGGGGTTTTCCTGTGGGATTCAACTTTTAAAAATTTTGCTTAATGGTAGCCTTTATCTCTTGTTTTAACTGTAGGCTTACCACAAAACTAATGATGAGCGGCGCATGTACCTCTCAGAGATCCGACAGGTAAGAAAAATGTGTGACTCAGTAACTTTTAAAAATCATTACACTTTCTTAATATAGCAATAGCATTTGTTAATGCTGTTAGGTCAAAGTGTTTCATCACCTTCATTCATATACCAAACCTATTACAAAAGCTGCTTTTTAAAAAATGTTAAGAGCTATAAATTGAAAGATTGCTACAGTTTATTAATTTTAAATACTTTTTCGCTTTTGTATCAATTGGAGTTTCATTGTTCCCTAGCATAGTCTAAGTGCTCTTAACTGACAAAGCTGAAGTAATTTTCTGATGCTTGCTTGCCAAGGCTGCTGCATAGTTGAACAGAACAGAAGCAAATTATTAGCAGGAGTGACACCTACATTAAGTAGCAATTTCTCTTTTTCATATTTCTCCTTTCTTATTTTAAAGACAAACTAGCCAACCAGTTCAAAATTACTTTATAGCACATATTTTCATTAATTTTATAAGATAGGGATAAGACACCTTGTTTTGGTGAAATCACGTTAAATTTTATTGCTGCAAATTACATAATGCATAAAATTTGATACTACAAACTGGAGGAACCTGAAATGGAATCTGTAAAGATTTACAGTACTTTTTATTCTGGAAAAGCCCTTAATTCCTGAATAATGTAAAAGTAATAACTTAGTGTGACACTCAAGAATGTCTGTCTCTGAATTCCTCTCATAGCTAACTGGGATAAAAGCCTGTAATTAGCAGTGTTTCCATGTGTTTGCACAGTGGGCAACTGATTCTCTTGCGTGGTTCATTACTGCTTAGGGAAATCTGAAAGAATTGCTTAAACTGACTGTCCAGCGTGAAATCAAGAAAAAGCCCAGGAAATGCCCATGATAACGGTTAATATCTTTGCATTAACAGTGAAACTGAGAACTTATGGAGGAAGAAGGTTGGAAATAAAAGATGATTTTATCACTGAACATGCTAACAAGCAGGGTGCCTATGTTCAGCTCCCTAGAAAAACACTTAAACATGCATAAAACATAGTTTGAAGTGAAGTGTATGCACTGGCATGTTGCTTAGATGGGGCAATGGGGACTAGGATTTTGCCAGTGACACTCAAGGTAGTTAGTGCATTATATTTTCAGGAATTAATTATTTACTCATATGATTTCAGAATCATATGAGAGCAAAGTAATGAGAGTAATCTTCAGATTAATACTCCTATCTTTAGTAAAAAAAAAAGCCATTCTTAAGAAATTGTAGAGGAATTCTCTGTAATCTATGGAGAAAGAATCATATCTAATGTGCAAACCATCACACCTTTTTTAGATCAAGATGAAATTAATTTCCTGGGGACTTTTCTCTCCCTCCTCCTGAACTATAAGCAGAGCCTAACTGAGTAGTTTAGATTAGACATCTACCTTTTACATTGCTGATCTGAACATGGCAGTAAACCTAACTGCACTGGTACAGCTTGCCACACTTCAACTACTCTGTACAGTTTTGAGCACTTTAGTATAAGAAGGGCATCAGACTATTAGAGTGTGTCCCAGAGAGGACAAACAATATGGCAAAGGGCCTCAAGGGCAAGAATTATGAGAAGAGGCTGAGGTCACTTTGCTTGTTCAGCTTGGATGAGAGAAACCTGAGTGTGGTCACCTCACTGCTGAGTGGTGACCACATCCCAGTCTACACCCTTCCTCAAGGAGGGCAGCAGAGAGCTGCTGATCTCCTCTCTCTGGTGACTAGAGATATGACATGAGGAAATGGAATGAAGCAGCATCAGGGGAAGTGCAGACTACACATTAGGAAAAGGTTCTTCATTGCACTGAAAGGGTAGTCAGTCACGGGATCAGGATTCTCAGGGTCACAGCACCAAGCCTGTCAGACTTCAAGGAGCATCTGGACGACGTTCTTAGTATACAGTTTAGTTTTAGGTAGTCCTGAAAGGAGCAGGGAGTTGAATTTGATGTTGTAGTTCTCGTTCTTAATGGTTTAACCATTCAAAAGGACAACTAAGTGACTACAGTTTGTTTTGGTTTGCATTCAGGGAAATATGTTAGAAACATAATGCTTAAACACTGGAGATGTGGAGTTATAGGGAATATCAACAAAAATATGCTGATTAAAATTACATATTCTCTGATCAGCTTAATAAATAATTGTATTTTTGCACATCAAGGGATTTTGGTATATGTTCAGTTACCTAAATCAACATGTCAACAGTATAATAGGTGCTTAAAATACTTTAGGTCAGTAAGGCCATAGTACATCAAAACTAGTTTGGAAATACTTCCTTAACTGTGATTGTGGTTAGGATTTAACTTGTTCTGTAAAAATTTTGCTATTACAGACCTCACCTACACTTAAAACTGTTGAAAGGCATCAACCAGATGCTCTGATTGGCAAGGGAGAAAAACAGATACTGAGGTAAATTTCTTTTTTATTTCCTGTTTTCTGATTTATTATATGTTCTAAACATTGCAAGTTTCTGTTCATGGTAAATATCACTAAGCATAATACCACTGACAAAGTATTACTCTTAACATAATTTTTGATACTACTTTTCAATCATTTTTATTTAATATTAAATATCTTGTAATGTTGAAAATACATATATTTAAGTGGCCTTTTAAAATCTTAAAATACTTTTGATGATCTTTCTTTTTAACCTGTGTTTGAAATGAAATATTACTACAGAGTTGAGAGCAACAAGTATACCCTTTAGTACATTAAGAGTAAGTCAATCAAGTGCCTTGCTAGGTCCTTTTTAGCTGATGGATTGTAAAGCTTTTTGTGGATGATAGTGTGAGTGATTTTAGATGTCAACATAGAAAGGCTTCATTGTTTAAGAGACTTCTGTTTAGTTTTATGGGTTAGAAATATAAATTTGAAGAGTCCACCTGCTCTGAGATATATAGAAATAAAATTAATTTCTAATTGTAATGCTTGTGGATAAGCTTGAAATTGTAGGAGATTTATTTTTTACCTGAACTAGAAATGTTAAGAATATAAAGTATGAAGAATATAAGCAATCATATCAAAAGTTTGTTGGACCCAGTAACCTGCCTCCAGTGCCCAAAAGCAGATACCTACAAAGGTGTGTAAGCAAGCAGATATAATATTTGCTTTTGGAACTCTCCCAAAGACTTTATATTGAGAGACTTCCTAAGCTAGTATGGTTTCTGTGTATTTAGTATCTCACATTAAATACCCTTCCAAAAACCCACTTACACATATTATTAAAATGAGCATGCACAGTATATATTGTCATCATCTGAAAATGTAATGAGTAAATTATGAGCATGAAATTGTGTGGACATGTTTGCCTACCAGCTTTATCCTCTCATTCTGTGTAAGCACAGAATCAAGGATTTTGTAAATCGGAACAGTGAACTTTCATGCTCCAGAAGAGGATATTAGTAGAATATGAATTAATGTAGCACAGTGTGAATTCAATTCTGTAACTGAAGTTTCTCAATATAGAAAAAGAACTGTGGGATACTGAAGCATCGCTTCTGGCCCCAGTGATATTTAATGTGGTTCTTATGGAGAAGATTAGAAAGCTAGAACCAGGAGAATTCACTGCCTGTGCAGATCAGCTAGATACTGAGATTTGCTGAAAGTTAGCACTGACTTGTGATTACGTTGGGGGTTTTTTACGATCTATTTTAATAGAGCGTTACTATCCTGAAATTATACGACTCTGTATTTCTGTAATTTTCTTTATATCAAGCACAAGAAAATAAAGTGTAATAGAAAATAAAGTGTCCTGCAACTGCTGGGTCTCAAAAGATGTGTATTATAACAAATATTCCTTTTCAATCCATTTTCCCTAAGAGCTTTTCTTTTTTAACTTTTCAAGTACATTAAACCCGTAAAGATAATTGTTCATCTTTTAAATTGTTCTTAGTATAAAAGGACCTAGTTTGCAAAGGATTGCCTTTTATAACCAGTGACTTAGAACTATCAGGACAAACTTTGATCTTTGTTGGCAACATGGATGTAAGAATGGGGATTTGTCATAATTTGTATTTTAAGGAAATACTAGAATGTAAGTATGCACTCCTTGATCATCACAAGGAAACCACAGCCGTTGTTATATTATTCCCTCATTGATTTACAGCCTGAGGGTTGTTTGTTCAAGTTGGCATTAATGAGATATAATTTCATTAAAAATAGAGAAAATCTGCATGATTGAAAGTAAGCATGTTCTTGAGAATAATTTGAAAAATTTCTGTCCAGAGTTTTATTTTACCTCTGTTGCCCATTCACAAAATGCCTGCATTGGATCTCAAACCTTACTAAGAAACTATGCTTAATGTTTGTTTTAGCTATAGGTACAGGTATGGAAAGCCCATATATTAAAGCCCATATTAAAGCAACCCTGAACACATTTTTTGAGTAGTAACGGTAAACACTAATTTTTAATATATTCAGTTCAGTAGAGGTCCTTTTTATGGTTATTCACAGGACAAGAAGATAGGCTAGCTGAGGTTTGGAAAGAACACAGATGTCCTGATGGCTCATATCTCTGATGCAATCTGAGTGGCCAATTTCTTGTCCTTCTGAGCCCTCTCTTATGCTGAGGCATATAGTGGGGCTTATTAGCTCAGTTTCAACACTGCATTGCTGCAGCCACCTGGCTTTTCAGTCTGTAAGTCCAGCAGGTTCTGACTGAAAGAGGTTTTGTGCCTAAAGAATTCCACATGGACATTTTCCGTCTGCTTCATCAAGCCATACAGTGATCTACAGATTAATCAATTGATTTTGAGTAATCAACTGATTTGAATTTAAATAATCGATTATTGAGAATACATGGGGTCTTGGGTTCTGATGTTCCAACTGTGAGTAGAACTATCTCCATACCTTTACGGGCACAGTTGTCCCTTCAGGACCAAGACCAGTTGTCAGAGCTGGAACAAGGGATGTGTCAAAAAGACTAGGGATCCCTAGGGATGGCTTTATTGGCTCTTGACCTGTAAATTTGAAACTTGCACAGATAACATCATCATGTCAGCTTCTACCACATATCTGGCTATCACGATGAATATAATGATTTAATGTTGTGATATATTTTCCCTCAAAATGCCTTTACTTGAGAAAGACACTGAAAATCTGTATTATTGTCATTGGAGTATGTAAACTGCTGTCTGTCCTCTCTAGTAATGAAGAGGAAGAGGAACAGAGGTACACTGCATAGGAGCAGAGATGCATGCTGCTTGGTCATGAAAGTAACCCTTCCAGTTTGGGGAAGCACCATTCTTTCCCTGGAGAATTGCTTACATTTACACTGACTTCTTAGATGATCAAGATGAAGCTCTAGTAGGTTTCATGTAGATGGTGTATGTATCCATGTTGAGTACCACTTCAGAAGTCTGCCGGCAGCATTTGCTATGGGCATTTCTTACAATCATGGGCTCAAGAGTCTGGGTCTCCAGAGTGGAATACCTGCAGAGAGCTGTAATTACATCTACATGAAGTGTTTTCCCATTTTCTGATGGGGATTCTTTAACTGACGAAAATGTCTCCTTAGGCAGGTATCATTCTCTTAGTACCAGTGTTTAGTATTCTGTTCATGTTCTTCAAATGCCATCACTTATGTAACAGGAAGTAGTCAGGAATCATGAGATGAAGATTGAGTTTGTATGCAGAATAATTAGATGCTCTGCTAACGTGCGAACCCAGAAATATACTTGTTTTTTGCTCTCTCAGCTTTATTAATTCATTTTAGTAATCAGATATGCAAATATAAAAAGCATGCACATTTCTAGCAGTTAAAACTTACAGGGAATATGACACTTGATGACTAACTTCACCCGTTTTATTTCAGAGGGAGATACAGTGTTCCAGGAAACCCGAAGATGATTAACCCTCAAAAACGATCCATTAAAAAGGCTGTAAGAGTGAATCAGCTTCCACAACTAAAGCACTGATATAATATTAATGCCAAGAATTTCCAGTCACTTTAAAAAATAAATAAGCGAAAGTTTCTAAACTGAAAATGAAAGTATTAGTGCCTTATTGTAATACCAGAACCAGATTGGCATGTCTTCTTGGCAGCCTTAATCTACGTGTGCCTCTGTCTAATGGACTTTTCCTTCTAGTTACCGTCTTTCTACTGGTGATCTCTGATCCTTTCCATTCTGCTTCACATCAGTGATTATGGGTGTGAGGGTGATGGAAGACTTGGAGAATATTTAATATCTTTATACACTATGTAGATCCTTGAGCTCTGCACAGCAACCATGGAAAACAAACAAGCCTCTAGCAATTTTTACCTCTCAACCAAGAAGAAGAAAAAGGCAGGCTGATGTAACCTAAACTATTGTCTCCAATATAACCTTTTTAAAAGCTGCTTTGCCACAGATCCTGTGTTGACACTCACTTTCTGTCTGCATGGTTTAGAAGCACAACACCATTTCCAGGTACTTTAGGCAGTAGTAATGGATAGAAATAACAGAAAAATTGAGCACTTTTTATTAAGGATTCTTCAGAGCCTATCTTACCAAGGGGTTGCTTCTTTTAAACATTATATCCATGTTATTTTTCTTGATATTGGTATGTTACTCTTTGAAATTTAAACTCTTAGATGAACCCTTGTATCCACAGTCTGGGTTCCATAAAAATCTCTTGTATTCTTCAGTGGCACTGTTCTCTGTACTTTTAGGGTCCAAAACAGTGCCAGTCCTAAAAGTCATCTCTTCAGTGAAAATAGAACTACTTTGTCTTTTTATTCTTAATCATGCAATTATTGTTGCAGTTTTATTACCTACATTTTAGTCATTAAACTTCAGCACAAATTTTTCAAGTGGCAACAGGAAAAATTTGGTAATGAAACTTCAAGCCTCTGGGTTACATCTTAAAAGTTCTTGGCAGAGCAAATGTGATTACTTGGCTGCCCTTTATTATTTTAAGAGCATCCCTAGCTCTTTGCAATATGAAAGCCTTTTGCCTCTTTGAGAGCAGTACTAATAGTTCTTTATTACTGGCAGCATTAAAGTATTGCTGTAATTAAATCCATCCAAAAAGACCAAGGGTGTAACTCTGACATTCAGAGAGAAAAGACTTGCAACCTATTCAGTATGGAAACCCCATTTTTTTCTCTTACACAGTATGAAATTCATTACAAATATTTCTAATGTTACCATGATGCACCTGGTATCATCCTTCTATAAGCAGGGTGGTCAGCCTGGCCAGTTTTTTAACTCACAGCATAGCACAGCTGATTAGGTTAGCACTCTTCTGTTCCCCTTTTTTGCCTGGAAAATTTCCAAACGTTGATTGTGCTGGCGTTTGTCGCTGTGGATAAGTAAAGGGGAAAATCACCATAATGGTCCTGTTGGCATAAAAGACAAGGGACATCTGCAATGTAAAGAAGATCGAGTTCTTGGATTCATGCAGCAGACATTTACTACTGCTGAATCAAATGTTAGTTAATACACTCAGGTCTGGTCCTTGTAGAACCTCAGAATAGGTGGAAACATTGCACAAATATGGCAGAACAGCATTTATTCACAGCAGGAGACTTGGATGCTTCCCTCATGGGTGGTCCACACTGAGGAATTAAAAGGAGACTTTTTTTGAAGCTTGAAAAGAGACATTTATTGGTACAGTTTTGATACAGTAATGACCTAAGGAGAAGAGTAGACTATATCCTATTTAGTCACTGTTTCAGCTTGCCAGGAGCAATCTTGGGATTTGAAACTCAGTTGTATAATAATTAAGCACTAAAACATTCTAATTCATTGTTCAGCTGTAATGTTTGCTGTGCAAAGTGGTTATAGTTCTGTACTGTTACTTTGAATTACTGTGCATTTCATTTACTTTCTGCCTTTCTGAAAATAAGGACAAACCTGATGATTAAGTTTGACAACTCCACTTTCTTTGCAACAGCAAATGAAGATTTTGGTTTCAGAAATACTGTGTTGTCTCTTTAAACCTGAATAAAACTTTTACACTTCTAGCTAACCCAAGCCATGCAGGAATTTTTTGTTTGGTTTGGTGGTTTTGGGTGGATAACTGTTTTGAAATTTCTGGATTTATCTGTGTGGGCTTTTCTAACTGCTGTTGTCCTATTAAATGCAGTTTGTTGCCATTTACACAATGAACAGTGACACAGCTTTATACAATATCTTCTATACGAACATTTCAGCACATTTAGGATTAATTAATCCTTCAAAGCATAGTATGTATTATTATTTTGGGCATAGAAGACAGAATCACAGAGTTAGGTTTGTTTAAAGTAGATATAAGAGTGTAGTGATGTCGTGTTTTCCCCTGATCTCACAACAGGGTGATATTTGTTGCTGGGTGATATTAATGTTGCTGACCACTGCAAGGTAAATCCTGTCTCCTCGAAGGTCTCTGTTCATCATACATGAAACTGAAGGAATCCGAAAGCAAAAATGGGAAACTGAATTGATGACAGCTGTGGTCAGTGATTGAATGGAGCTAAGTATTAGAGGAAGACAGGATCAGAGGTGAAGGTTTGAGTCTGGCCAAACTTCTTTCTGCAGCATAGAATGTAATGGGATTCCAGATATACTGGTTGTAGTGTGTGCCTTTAATAGGTGGACTGGGAAATTTGATATCCTGACTCAGCACTTGAGAGGATACTTGCTTTACGTCGGTTACTCATGTAAGTCCACTGATTTCAGATGAGTCATAATTTTGAGGTAACTAAGGCATTTTAAGTATGTACCCATATTGTTTCTGGAAAATATAAGTTTAAAAGCTCAAAATTAAAAAAAAAAAAACATCCTCTTTTTTTCCTTTTTAAGTTTCATGATTTAAGAGGGTATTGAGTCATGATTTTTGTTTTTAATGAATCAGTAGAGCAGCAGTGTATTATTCTATGATAGAATAAAATTAAAATGTTTATCGGATGGGCTTTAACTGTGTGGTTGACTATTGTGTAATTATGCGGCATAACCACAGGTTCCAGAGAACTTGGGTGATGAGCTTCCTCATATTCAGGGTATTATTAATAATAAGCAAGATATTTCACTGCTTAAATACTTTGTTTAATGGGTTCTCAGGATAAAACTGACTAGGTGGCAAAGAAAGAAAGAGAAAGAAAGAGAGAAAGAAAAGAGAGAAAGAGAGAAAGGAAGGAAGGAAGGAAAGAAAGAAAGAAAGAAAGAAAAAGAAAGAGAAAGAAAGAAAGAGAAAGAAAAAGAAAAAGAAAGAAAGAAAAAGAAAAAGAAAAAGAAAAAGAAAAAGAAAAAGAAAAAGAAAAAGAAAGAAAGAAAAAGAAAGAGAAAGAAAGAAAGAAAAGAAAAGAAAAAGAAAAAGAAAAAGAAAAAGAAAAAGAAAAAGAAAGAGAAAGAAAGAAAGAAAAAGAAAGAGAGAAAAAGAAAGAAAGAAAAAGAAAAAGAAAAGAAAAAGAAAGAGAAAGAAAGAAAGAAAGAAAGAAAGAAAGAAAGAAAGAGAGAAAGAAAGAAAGCTCTGTGTTATTAAGCTTCTGCTATTGCTGCCAGACTGGTGTCAAACATAAACTGTTCTTTGAACTATCTCTATCTGGAAGCAGATGTAAAGTGCATGGACTAAAATCATAGCTAATTGCAATAGTTTTATCTCTTTACATACAGGAGTCACACTAGTTGCAGACAGCTCTAGAATGGATAATGAGGTGGCAGTACTTAATTTAACTTGGCAGATTAGTTTCACCCTCTCTTCCAAAAATACAAACATTGTATGTAGTTCCTTATAGGTTACAGCTTGGAATCCAGTTTTCCCGTACTTCACTAATTTGTGCCATAAACTACCAACTAAGAAATGTGTAGAGCCCAAATGAGTATCCCACATCTACAGGAGCAGCATGTGGGTGGGACCAGGCTTTCCCTGTATTTCTTTGAGCAACCCCATGCAACACCCCACAGACCTCCTTTCTACGCTGGTAAAGTTCCTATGCTCTGGTTCCCACCTCTCCCTATGTTACCTGTGAGAAGACGAATTCTGCTTCAAGTACCCATCTGTAAATTGGGGAAAATTGTATGTTTCTGATGCTAAGAAGTGATACGAAGACAAATACACCCGTGCTGGAAGGAAGCCAACTGGTAAAACCACAATGAACCTAAGTAAGCCTGACCTAAATCAAAGGGATAACATTGGTGCTATGTTGGTGCAGAAACTTAACAGCTGTGCTGCTGCATCTTACTGAAAAGATTTATCAGTAAAGATTTATGTCGGGGTATTTCCAAATGAACACAACCCAGCAGTGACAACAGTTGCTGTGCAAGTCTTGTCAAAGGGAAAAATGTCAGCCCTGAAAATAGAAGGATCCCATGTGAGGTCCAGGACATGCCTTACTCCCCCACCATTGTACAGCAGGCAGTTGCCTCTACAGCTGTCTGGTCCCTCTACACAACTAGCAAGTGTCCTGCAGGGAGTTGCCAAGGGATGATGTGGTGTAACACAGCAATGCAGGCTAGGGACCAGAGAAGTCGTGCACAGCTGAAGGGTTATTTTGGGGGAAGGATGAAGCAACAAGAGTGTGCACTCTTGACTTGTCCTGTGCAGATTAGGGATAGGATACTGAGAAATCTTAAAAAAAGAGGAAAAGAAGGTAAATAAGCATGGGAATCATCTGTCCCAACTTGCAGCTTAAAATGCCTAAATCTAAGATATTGACTCCATGAGCAGTCAATTGGAAAAAACCCAGACACCTTCAGAGTGCAGTTCCTCTCATTCTAACAAAGATGCTTAAAATGGATCAGATGACACATCATCTGGATTTCTCTCCACTGACTAGAAAGGAATTATAAGATGACAAATTCAGAATAACCTCCTTGAGCCCTGTTTTTGAAAATTTCTTTATTTTCCTTGCTCTGGTTAGGGACAGTGGCACCCAGGATTAGTAGAGGGTCTGAGCTAAGAAGCAGTAATGAGCTGCAACTTGACTCTCCTTTGGGTTGATCTTTTCCTCTTGCAGCAGCCCAGCACACAACAGAGGACCTGTTCTTCAAGCATCATATTTACAAGGCTCACAGATCTATTCTCATGTTACATCAGTACTTACAAGGGACAAATTACCTTTTTTTTCCCCTTCCTTTTGAAGACATTTAACAAGCTCCATACTCTTTTGAAATCAAACCAACAAGCTGCTGCATTATGCTAAAAAGCTCTCCCTAAAGCCTATGGATCTCCAATATGAAGGTGGGAAAATACATCCCATAGATCAGTTCACTACAGACCTTTGAAGAAATCTGATGCAATTGCGATAGGAATCAATAACCTGGAGATCAATACTTTTTTGTATGTTCCTGTCTCTTAAAAAGCTGAGCTAGGAATTTACTAATGACAAGTCAAATTGTTGGCTGGGCAAATGTGTTCTTGGAGGATTAAAATAGTTTGCAATTCCTGCCAGGCCTGTAATAGCTGACAGCATAACTTCATTAGTATAATGTATTTCTGAGGCAAGAATAATTTGTCCGTATACACTCAAAGTGTTTGGATGAAATAATCTGCCTTGCCTTAGGCTGCTGTCAGAAAGCACATCTCAGGCCCATCTTCAGTCTCATCGGCACCTGAGCAGCAAGGATGGGCACTGCTCCTGTGCTACTGCAGCTGTCTTGGCTCAGAGGGGTGCGAGAGCCCCGTGTTCTTGGCTGACTGGCAAGGAGAGGAAGTGGAAGACCAGATGTCCACTCCAGACATCTGCAGCAAAGCACCAAATCTGAAAACATACTGTGTTGTGCTCGTTGCTGCCTTTGCTAATGTTTCCTACTTTGTATTAATACCTCTTGAGTGGCTGGTGTTTCTGGGTGTATCCACAGATGTGGTAAGCTGGACAAGTAATGGGAATTCTTAACAATCTAAATCAACAAAAGGCTTGACAGAGGTATAAAACAATAACTTTTCCAACCTAATCAAAACTAGACAAGAAAAAACTTTATACCAATTTCTTGGCTCTAGTTTGATGCCTGAGTCATCCTGGGCTGGGCCTGACCCTGGTTCCCCTCACAAAGGCCCAATCTCCAGCTCCACTTGCAGGTAGATGTCATGTCCCAGACTTGGGTGTCCACATCTCCAGGGAGGTTCTCGATGCCTGGGGCTGGGACTGCCCCTGGTGCCTCCCACTGCGACTCCTTTCCCCCAGTTTGTGCTCCTCCTGGCTGGGACAGTAAGATGGTCCCAGCCTGCCCTGCCCCACCCTGCCCTGCCTGCCTGGGGATCCCCTGTGGTTCCCAGCCCTCAGTATCAGGGGTCACTGTTGCCCATCCTGTCAGATTTGCACTCATTGGTAGTGCTGACATAAATAACAATTTGCTGACTGCAGGAGTGATTTACTTTAAGCACTTTAGCACCTGCTGTTGCTCATTACGGGATTATCATGCCCCAGATTGTTACTGGCAGCCCAGGGTTTACAGCTTTAGCATGTTTGTAGAAGTTACCTTAGAGGGGTGGGTTCATGCACTTACTCTGTCCTCCCCATGACCCTACTTCATGTTAAGATCTCACATGTAACTGGAAGCCATATGTTTTAGACATGTGATGATTAGGAAAAAAAAAAGCAATTATACCAACATGCAAGCTTTTAATGGTAGATATCAGCATTTGACAGTATCTCATGGTTCAGAATAACAGAGCATTCTCCATTGTAGGCTTATTTTGTCACTATGTGAATATCATTGCAATTAGTTCTTCCTGAAAAGGCTAACAAGGATACAGAGGTGGAAGAGTTGTGAACTTGTGCTAAAACCTCTGCAGAGATCTGGCATTTCACACTGTGCCCCTGGGCTGGGATTCAATGTGAAGAGTTATAGCAGTTTCCAGGGCAGATATTCCAAAAACCTTGGCAAAAATAGCTGTCTCACTCCTGTACTTGATTCCTTTAATTGCTGATTCTTCTGTTCTCTGCAGTCTGCAGAACCTCCTTTCTCAGCTTTTATTAAAGTTGGTCACCTGCAATTCTGAGCCAGAGTTCAATTATTTTTCTGGCCTGGTAATTTCCCAGCACCATCTGTTTCCTAGTGCCAGCGCCAGCTACAGTGGTGCCTGCTATGCCCTTTTGAACTGTCTGTCCTCTCTTCTCTCACCATCAAAACTTTTACTGGAAATTACTTGAATTGTATGGCTTAGTACGGCTTTGTGGACTACTTCTCTGGTCTCAGGGAACTAGCATTTAAGAGAAGTGCCCATGGCATTGCCAGTAGTAAAAATGAAAGAGTATTCTGTGCCCAAAGATCCAAAAAAGAGAAAAAAGAACGTGCTAACACTACAGAGGACAAACAGCACCCTGCTGCTTTCCCCGACAATGCTGTGATGAGGTATAACAAAAAAAACCCACATAAACACCAAAAAGCCTCAACCCAAAGCAACCCCCCTAAAATCTAAATAATAGGTTTATACAATGAAAGGTAGAACTGGTACATACAAGTTTTATTTTGTTGGAAAGCTCAGCATGAATATAAAAACATTGTAGTATCAAACTTCATATAAACCTAAAATTTAAATAAGCATTGATACAAAGTAGGGGGAGAGGAGGAAGGTTACCATATAAAGGTCTTTGAAAGGTTTAGTTAAGAAATACCTTTGAGGGACTATTTTAAATCTAGAACTGTGCTCAGAAGCAAGGAAGATACTTTTGCTACAGAACAGAAGAGATTTACCAAGGACATAATTTATTTACTTGTGAAGTTTAACAAGTTTAATGGATTGGTAGAATTCTCATATAAAGAAAAAAAGAGAGAGAAGATGTTTTAAAGCAAACCTGCATGCTTTTGTCATTCTTCTGAGCTGGAGTGCAAGCATAGCTGAGTTACTTGCCCCACATATCTATGCAAAGACTGTCTAGCAGCATCCATTACATCAGGAACTTAAAAGCGGGTCCAGATAATACAGAATGGAGTGTTAAGGTTTACATTAAACCAGATTTTAAAAGGACTTTGTGGAGTAGATTCAAAGAGGGGCCAAATTATATAGGCCTTGAAAGTT